GGAGTGTTGGAAACAATTAATTCTAAGCTCATCTGTCGTGTCGAAACACCAAGACAGAAGCGAAGCGAAGCATATCGAAGCACTGGCGAGTCAACCCTCGGAGGTTGAGCAGTTACTGGAGGTTACGCGAAAGTCAAAGGTCAGCGACCTTTGACCTGACAAGTACAGCGCAACAGCAAGGACACACAACTGACTCGCTACAGAGCAGTTGCCCGAGTCGTCACTGTATCGAGCCGCAACAGCAACAGTAAAGTAGTTGCAACCGTATCTCTTCGTATTCCTTGTACTCTTATATAATCTTGTATCTCTTTGCTTTAATCAATTCACTTTGCCCTCACATACCAGCGCAAGGTGGTTCAACTACTTCAATAAACGCTTCCGCTAATTACAACAAATCCTACCTAGAGTTCAGCCCTGCAAAGATCCTAAGGGCCTTTCTTAGCCCAACATTCCCAATAGTCAATAATTCCTGTCTCTAGATTCCAACATGGTTTCAGAGCAGTAGGTCCGTAGGACCGTCTTTTTTTTCGGGCCCACCTACCGCTATCCCACGACTGTGACTGTACCTGCTGCGTGCTCTCTGCTGACTGCGCGGTCTGCTGCTGCTTAGAGCGCGCAGACCTGATTCCTGCGCGCGGTCCGGTTTCTGCCCCGCGCGTCGCCCAAGCTGCCCGAGTCGCGCCTCGGCAGCCCGCGCGCAGGCTCGCTGCTGCTCCGCGCACCGCGTCTGCAGCCCGCGCTGCTTGCTGCAGCCCCGCGCGTTGCGTCTGCTGCCCACGCGTCGCGCTGCAGCCCCGCGCGCCGTGGCTGTCGTCCTCGCGCAGCCCGCTGCGGCTTCGCGTGCCGCGCCCGCAGCTCGCGTAGCCCGCTGTAGCCCCGCGCGCCGTGGCTGCCCTTGTTCGTCGCGGCGCCCCCCACCCTGGACGTCGCCACAGCCTGTCGCGACGCCCCCCCCCCCCCCCCCCCCCCCCCCCCCCCCCCCTGGACGCCGCCTTTGCCTGGTTGCCACCGTCGTTCCTGCAGCAGCTGCCGCGGAGCGCCTTGCCACGGTTGCGGCCCCGCCCTGCAAAAGCTGCTGCGGTTCCTCCTACTGCTGTCGCGGCCCCGCCCTGCAGCAGTCCTCGCGGCCCCGCCCTGCAGCGGTCACGGCCCCGCCCTGCAGCAGCTGCCGCGGACCTGCTCTACCGCCGATGCGGCCCTGCTCTGCCGCAGCTGTCGCGGCCCCGCCGTCGTGCGCCTACCCGGCCGCCGCCCGCCGAGCGCCGGCCCTGCTCGCCCGGCGAGCGCCTGCCCTTCCCGCCACTGGTGAGCACCTACCTTGTTCGCGCGCTGCTGCGTCATCTGCCTGCCTGTCTGCCTGCCTGCTCGCCTGCCTGCCGCACCTGCCCTGCTGCTGCTGCTGCTACTGGTGCTACCTTTGCTACTGCTGCTACTGGCGGTGGCCAGATGCAGCTCCAGCGACTTCCATGGGAGTCTCTCCCACCCCAGCAGCTTCGTGAGTGGTACGCTAGTTGGGGTTGTGGCGGTAGCTATCATAGCTGTCGCCCTGGAACTGGTCAGTTGGAAGCGTCTAGCAGTGACCTGCTGCAGCTGCAGCGGCGTCCACGCACGACACTTACGTCCCAACAGCTTCACGAGTGGTACGCTCATAGTAGAGGGTCTCTGAGTACCGTTTGCTGCCCGTACGTCATTCGCACAGGTGATCGGGCTGGTCAGGCTTGCGGGACGCTTGGTCACGCACAGTCCCGCTGCTTCGCCCGTCTGAGCGACGCCTGGCGTATCGAGTTTGGCAACGAGGCTGAGCTCCCCACCTGGCTGGAGCTGCTTAGGCAGAGGGTAGATATCTTTGCTCTTGACTATGATGCTATTCTCACTGCCATGTATGCATTGCTGACGGTGCCTGTTACCTGTGCGTACCGCCTGACCCAGGTATAGAGCCTGCTGCTCTAGGTGTTGGTGAGGCTGCTGCTCTAGGTGCTCGTGCGTCTATTGCTCTAGGTGCTGGTGAGGCTGCTTCTCTAGGTGCTAGTGCGTCTCTTGCTCTAGGTACTGGTGAGGCTGCTGCTCCAGGTGCTGGTGAGTCTGCTCTCTCTGGTACTGCGCCTTCTGAGGCCTTGTACACCTTCACACTTGACTCAGGAGCTTCCCGCTCTTTCTTTCGCAACAGCACCACCCTCACGCCGCTCAGTCGGCCGGTTGCAGTCTCCCTGGCAGACCCCTCTGGGGGTCCTGTCCTTGCGCACTCCTCCACGGTCCTGCCGTGTCCGGCGGTCCCGTCTGGCTCCCTGTCAGGTCTTCACCTCCCCTCGTTCTCTACAAACTTGGTGAGTGGTGCTGACCTCCAGGACCAGTGGGTTGACCAGTTCACTCCTAGAGGTCAGCGTGTGACCCACTGTATGTGCTCCCGGATGGGACGGCACCTGGCCACGTTTACCCGTGCACCTGGCTCGAGTCTGTACACACTGACTACCGTGTCCCCTCAGGTCGCTGCGTCTGCGTCTGCGTAAGATCAGCTAGCGCCCCCCTGCTCGTGTCGCGCTTTGTCGCACCAGACCCTCCTTTGGCACCACCGCCTTGGTCACCCCTCGGTGCAGCGCCTTCGTAGCATGCACCGCCGTGTCCTTGTCTCTGGTCTCCCCATGTTTCTCCCTCCCCTCCCACCCTCGCCTGCTCCTCCCTGTCTTCCCTGTGTCGAGGGGCGGCAGCGCGCTGCTCCTCACTCCTCGTTCCCTCCCACAGAGGCTCCGCTGCAGACTCCCCACCTAGACGTGTGGGGCCCAGCCCGCGTCCGTGGACAGGGCCACGAGCGGTACTTCCTGCTGGTCGTCAACGACTACACGCGTTACACCACGGTCTTCCCCTTGCAGCGCAAGTGGGAGGTCCCTGATGTTTTGATCCCCTGGATCCGCGATGTTCGCCTCCAGCTCCTCGAGCGGTTCCAGTCGGACTTTCCTGTCCTGCGTCTGCACTCTGAGAGAGTTGGTGAGTTCTCCTCAGACCTCTTGGCAGCCTTCTGTGCGGAGCATAGCATGCGCCAGACGTTCACGCTTCTGGCCTCTCCACAGCAGAATGGGGTTACTGAGCGCCGCATTTACTCAGTCATGGAGGTCGCTCGTACCTCCATGATCCATGCGGCTGCCCCCCATTTTCTGTGGCCGTTTGTGGTCCGGTACCCTGCGCATCAGCTCAACCTTTGGCCCCGTGTCTCCTTGCCAGAGACCTCGCCCACACTGCTGTGGACGGGGAAGGTTGGCGATGCGTCGCGTTTCGGGGTCTGGGGTGCTTGTCAGAGGTCCACTGGTGATCCCCGATTGATCCTAGGGAAGGGTTACAGGCATGTTGGCCTGGGGGGTTATGGGCGCACTGATCCGCTACTTAACAAGCCCTTTTATCTCAGTGGTCTAGTGGCTGGGATTCTAACAAAGTATCAGAGCGAAGGTCTCGGGTTCGAATCCTAGTGTGTGCACTTCGGCCATCCCAGTGCGGGGGAGTGTCAGAGGTCCACTGGTGATCCCCGATTGATCCTAGGGAAGGGTTACAGGCATGTTGGCCTTGGGGGTTATGGGCGCACTGACCCGCTACTTAACAAGCTCTTTTATCCCAGTGGTCTAGTGGCTGGGATTCTGACACAATAGATTTATATATATTTAGTACAATCTGCATGTAGTGTAGCTGTTGTGTAATTCCCTTGTATGGTGGTGCACTTCTTTCATCTTTGTTAGGTTGCTATATGTACTCATGTGCTATAGTGAACCTCCAACCATTTTCAATTCTCCTTGGCACAAACTACTCGACAGCTGTTTGGCCTAGGCTACTAAGCCTAGGCCCTTAGTTAAACCCGTGCTCTAGTTAAGATCGTATCGTAACATGGTATCGAGCGGTTCCTTTCCTAAGGACCGAATTTTTATGGGCCCACCGCTAGCCTCTCGCTATGGCGTGCCCCGTTGCGCGGCCCGTAGCGCGCCTCGTGAGCGCTTCCTTGCCGCAGCCCGTCGCCCACGCACTACCCGCTGCTTCTGCCCGTCGCCGACGCGCTACCCGCAACTGCATCCCGCCGCCCGCGCGATATTCGCTGCTGCAGCCCGTCGCCCGTCCCGTCGCACTGCCGCCCGTCGACAGATCCCCGCCACCCGTACGCTCTCCGCTGCCCGTCGCCAGGTCCCCGCCCTCCCTCCCGTCGACTTCGCAATTGCTGTGAAGGGAGTGGCGGGAGAAGCTGCTGCTACGCCCTTGCACGCGCCAGATCGTCCGCGACCCGCACCCCGCACTCCGCCTGTCGCCCGTACTCCACCCGCACCCCGCACCCCGCCCGGCGCCCGTGCGCCACCCGCACCACGCACCCCGCCCGTCGCGCGTACGCCATCCGCACCACGCACGATGTCCATGCCCCCGTTCGCGAGACCCGTCCGCACCCCGTACATGCACCCAGACCGCCGTTCTGCCCCAAATCCCGCCCCTCCCCACCGACAACTGCCGCCCCACCCCCATCTCCGGCTCCGTTTCCAGCGGGAAGGGGAGGAGGTGTGGCTCGAAGGGGACGGCTGGGGGAGGGGGAGTGGCAGGGTTGGCGGCTCATGTAAGGGGGAGGTTGAGGGGGTGGGTGACCCATCTGCAGCTACTGCCGCCACACCTCCCCCTCTCTCTCTCTCCGCCGCTGCTGGATCAGGGGGTGTGGGTGGGTGAGTCCAGCTGCAGCACCAGCTGCCCCCTCCTCCTCTTTCTCACTCCTGCATCCGCTGCTGTTGGGGGGGAGGTTGAGGGGGTGGGTGATTCTGTTGCAGCACCTACCGCCATTACACCTCCACCTCTCTTTCTCCGTCAATGCTGCTGTGGGGGGAAAGGTTCAAGGGGTGTGGGTGGTGAGAGTTCATATGCACCATCAGCCGCCTCCTCCTCTCATCCCCTGCCCCGTACCTCCCGTATTGCCCGTACTTCCCCGTGCTTGCCCGTGCCCGTGCCCGTGCTGTCTGCCCCGTGTTCCCCGTGCTTGCCCTGTGCCCATGCCCGTGCTGTCCGCTCGTGTTCCACGTGCCCGTGCTGTTCGTACCCGGTTGTGCCCCACCCGTTTCACCCGTGCTGTCCGTACCCGGTTGTGCCCCACCCGTTTCACCCATGCGTCCCATGCTTCCCGTGCTGCCCCTGTGTTCCCGTGCTGCCCCCATGCTCCTGTGCTGCCCCCGTGCTCCCGTGCTGCCCCCGTGTTCCCGTGCTGCTCCCGTGCTGTCCCCGTGTTCCCGTGCTGCCCCCGTGTTCCCATGCTGCCCCCGTGCTGCCCCGTTCTGCCTGTGTCGTGCCCGTTTCCGTGCCGTGTTGCCCCGTTCAGCCCTTGTCCTGCCCCGTTCTGCCTGTGCTGCCCCGTTGTCCCCGTGTTGCCCCGTTCTGCCCGTGTTGCCCCATTCAGCCCGTGTCCTGCCCCGCTCTGCCCGTGTTGCCCCGTTCTGCCCGTGTTGCCCGGTTCAGCCCATGTCCTGCCCCGCTCTGCCCGTGTTGCCCCGTTCTGCCCGTGTTGCCCCGTTCGGCCCGTATCTTGCCCCGTTCGGCCCGTGTCTTGCCCCGTTCAGCCCGTGTCCTGCCCCGTTCTGCACGTGTTGCCCCGTTCAGCCCGTGTCTGCCCCGTTAAGCCCGTGTTTTGCCCTTTTCTGCCCGTGTTGCCCCGTTCAGCCCGTGTTTTGCCCTGTTCTGCCCGTGTTGCCCAGTTCAGCCCGTGTCCTGCCCCGTTCTGCCCGTGTTGCCCTGTTCTGCCCGTGCTGCCCCGCTCTGCCCGTTTGTGCCCTACCCGTGCTGTCCGTACCCGTTGGTGCCCCACCCGTGCTGTCAGTTCTCGCTCGTGCCCCACCCGGTCAGTGCTGCCTGGTCTCGTGCTGCTCGTCACCCCCGTGCGGCCCGTCCCGTACAGCACCTAGTTGCTACCCGAACCCGCTACCCATACCCGTGCTCCTCGCACACCGTGCACCAGCTGCGGGGCGTTCAACCGCAGCCGGGCATCTGTTCCACCGCGGTGGTTCAGATGCTGCTTGGTGGTTGCTACTTGTCAGCTTCAGAAGGGGCCCCTTGCTGGTGTTCCCACGCCCTGTAATGGGGTTTTACAGGTGTACCCCTTCTAGGGGGGCTCTGCACATGGTTATGCACTTCAGGCAGATAGGGGGTGTGTCACAATAGATTTATATCTATTTAGTATAATCTGCCTGTAGTGTAGCTGTTGTGTAATTCCCTTGTATGGTGGTGCACCTTTTTCATCTTTGTTAGGTTGCTATATGTACTCGTGTGCTATAGTGAACCTCCAACCATTTTCAATTCTCCTTGGCACAAACTACTCGACACCCGTTTGGCCTAGGATACTAAGCCTAGGCCCTTAGTTAAACCCGTACTCTAGTTAAGATCGTATCGTAACAGTGCTCGTGTCTTTGTCCGCGATACCACCACGGACAAGCTCTCCGCCCGCGCTGTTCCCTGTGTCTTCCTTGGCTTTGTCCTTGACGCGTCTGGTTGGCAGTTTTACCACCCCACCTCACGCCGTGTCTTCCCCTCTCAGGACGCCACGTTCGACGAGTCGGTTCCCTTTTACCGTCTCTTCCCCTACCGCACTGCCCCTCTTCCCCCCCCCCGCCGCTCTTCCTTGCACCAGGTGCTCCCCAGGTAGCCCCCCTCCCCGCTCCCGGTCCTGCTCCTTTAGGTGTGTCTCAGGTAGACCCTCCTCCCTTGACTGCACGGGTTGAGGTCACTAGTGACTCAGGTCCTACTGAGGGTGGTCCTACTCGGGGTGCTGCTTCTGGGGGTGCTGAGCTTGGGGGTGCAGAGCCTGGGGGTGCTGGTTCTGGGGGTGCGGAGCCTGGAGGTGCTGAGCCTGGGGGTGCTGAGTCTAGGGGTGCTGCACCTGGGGGCGCTGCGGCGTCTGGTGAGCAGTCTCCCTGGAGCGGCCGTCTCCGTAGTCGCTCTGCTGGTGCCTCGCCGCTGCACTCTCGTCGTCGTCTCCCTCTCTCCCCACAGCAGCTGCGTGAGTGGTACGTTAGCCGTCAGGGTCGCGCTGCTGGAGCTAGGAGCCCTGCTGCGGGAGGCGCTGGAGCTGGTGACTCTGCTACTGGAGTTGTTTCTACTGGAGTTCCTGGAGCAGCTGGTCCCGAAGGTGCTCGTGCTGGAGGTACTGGAGTTGCTGGGACTGGAGGCCCTGCTGGACCTGGAGGTGCTGCTGTCGACTCTGAGGTTGGAGGCCCTGGAGCTGGAGGTGCCGGCTCTGGGGGTGCTACTGCTGGTGGCGCTGGAGCTGGAGGTTCTGGAGCTGCTGCGGGTACTGGCGCTGGAGGTTCTGGAGCTGTTGGAGGTGCTGGCGCTGGTGGCGCTGGAGCTGGAGGTTCTTGAGCTGCTCCGGGTGCTAGCGCTGGAGGTTCTGGAGCTGTTGGAGGTGCTGGCGCTGGTGGAGCTCGAGCTGGAGGTTCTGGAGCTGCTGCGGGTGCTAGTGCTGGAGGTGCAACGCCTGAGGGTTCTGAGTCTGCTGTTGCGCGGTCTCCTTGGAGTAGCCGACGTCATCCGCGTGTGCCTCTGACCTCACAGCAGCTGCACAACTGGTACGGTCGTCGTCAAGGTCGCGCTTCTCGGGCTCGGGGCTCTTCCGCTGGAGGTACCTCTGCTGACGTCACTAGAGCTGGGGGTGGTGCTGGTCCTAGAGGTGCTCGTACTCGAGGTTCTGGAGCTGCTGGGGCTGGAGGTGCTAAGCCTGAGGGTGCTACTGCTGGAGACCCTGGGTCTTGGGGTGCTGCTGCTGAAGACACTGAGGATGGAGACCCTGGGACTGGAGGTGCCGGTTCTGGGGGTGCTGTTGCTAGTGGAGCTGAGCCTTGAGGAGCTGGCGCTGAGGGTTCTGGAGCTGCTGGAGGTGGTGGAGCTGCTGGGGGTACTGGAGCTGCTGGTGCTGTTGGCACAGCTCAGACGCGCCTGTTCTTCGCTCCACCATCTCCGTCGTCTCAGCCACCGCCTGACTCAGTGCTTCACCAGGTTCTTAGTCTCCCTTCGTCTACTAATCTTCCGTTACAGCCTAGCTCACCGCTGCCTGCTCCTTCTCCTTACACTGAGCAGACAGGGGGTCTTACTGAGCGTCGTGAACCTGCATCGCGTCTTGTCTCGCCTGTCTGTTCTGGTAGTTCCGGTCGTCGTGTTCCTCGTCCGCGTCAGCAGGCTGTCCCCAGCACCCACCTCGTGTTCCTCTGCCGTCTCCTCCTGCGTCTTCTCTGGCTGACGTTCTAGAGCCTGAGTCTGACCACGCTTGTGCTGCTCACCCTACTATCACGCGTCTGATTGCCACAGTTGTCACTGACCCGTTGTTTGAGTCTGCTGCTGCGCCTGCCTTAGTCGCTGAGCTTGTTGACTTTGCTGCTGCCTGTCATCTAGACTACACCGCTAGTCTTGTTGCTGAGTCTGAGTCTGTCTGTCCTCCGTCCGTCGGGGGTGAGTGTGCTCTTGGCACGAACGTCCTTGAGGACAGGCAGGAGGACCTTGAGTGTCTTGCAGCCGCTGCGCCTCATCTCGTGTCCATGCTGCTTGCCCCTGAGGGAGACCCGGATGCTCCAGACATCCCGACCCCGCGCTCTTACGCTAAGGCGATCGCGGGTGAGTACTCCTCTCAGTGGCAGACAGCCATGGATGCAGAGATGGCATCTTGGAAGTCCACATGCACTTACGTCGACGAGGTTCCCCCTCCTGGGGCGAACATCGTCGATGGCATGTGGATTTTCAGGGTGAAGCGGCCGTCCGGTTCTCCGCCTGTCTTCAAGGCTCGTTACGTTGCTCGAGGTTTCAGTCAGTGGCAGGGACTAGACTTCTTCCAGACCTTCTCCCCCACCCCAAAGATGACCACTCTTTGGGTGCTGCTGCACGTTGCCGCTCAGCGTGACTACGAGCTTCACTCTCTTGAATTCAGCATAGCTTTCTTACAGGGCAGCCTGCACGAGGAGATCTGGCTTCGCCGCCCTCCTCCCTTCACTGGGTCGTTCCCTGCTGGTACCCAATGGAGCCTCCGGCGGCTGGTCTACGGTCTCCGCAAGGCGCCACGTGAGTGGCACGACACAGTGAGGACGACACTTGCTGCTCTTGGGTTTGCTCTGTCGACTGCTGACCCGTCGCTGTTTCTGCGCACCGACACTTCGCTGCCGCCGTTCTACATCCTCGTGTACGTCGACGACTTGGTCTTTGCCACTGCTGACACTCAGGCTCTCGCCCTGGTGAAGTCGGAGCTGCAGAAGAGACACACGTGCACAGACTTGGGTGAGCTGCGCAGTTACCTTGGCTTGCAGATCACCCGGGACAGAGCACGCCGCACCATCACACGGACTCAGTCACACATGGTGCAGCAGGTCCTTCAGCGCTTCGGCTTCACCTGGTCCTCGGCACAGGCCACTCCTCTGGCTACAGGTCACTCGCTCTCAGCTCCACCTTTGGACGAGTCCGTAGAGCCGAGTGGTCCTTACCCAGAGCTAGTGGGCTGCCTCATGTACCTAATGACCTGCACTCGTCCTGACCTTGCATACCCTCTTAGCCTTCTGGCTCGCTACGTGGCTCCTGGTCGGCACCGAAAGGTGCACATGGATGCTGCTAAGAGGGTACTACGCTACTTGTGCAGTACATCAGGCATGGGGCTCGTGCTTGGAGGACGGGGCGACGATGTCCTCACTGGGCACTCGGACGCTTCTTGGGTTGACGACCAGGCTACGCAGCGGTCGTCACAGGGTTAGACCTTCAGCCTTGGCTCTAGTTTAGTTTCTTGGCGTTCTACACGCTCGTCTTCAGTTCTTTGCTCCAGTTGTGAGGCTGAGATCTACGCCACAGCCATGGTTGCACAGGAGTTACGCTGGCTCACCTACCTGCTGACCGACCTGGGAGAGCGGCCTCGTTCTCCTCCAATTTTGTACGTAGACAACAAGGCCGCCATTGCCTTGTGTGAGGAGCACAGACTGGAGCACAGAATGAAGCATATCGCTCTGCGTTACTTCCTTGCTCGAGAGTTGCAGCAGCGTGGTCAGCTTCATATTGCTCACGTGGCCACTCGGGCCAACACTGCTGATGTATTCACCAAGGCACTTCCGTCTGGTGATCATCAGCGTTTTTGTACTTTGTTAGGCCTTGTGCCCACGTTTCCTCACTCGCTATAGACTTTGCCTGTACTGTGACCTATATATATACCTGCATGTTTGCTCTGCTAGGTAGAGATCACTGTGCTGTCGTTGTTGTATATATACCTCTGCATGTGAACTGGCCTTGTGGCCCTTTGCTTGTGCTCAGTATGTGTGGTGACGTTGTGATCCACCCTGAGCTTGCTTTGCATTTCTTGACTGGTCTTCTGACCCTCTGCTCTCCCCCACTTTGCCTTTGGGGGTGTGTCAAACTATGTATATATTGTTAGGGTGTAGGCTGTAGTGGGGTAGCACAAATGGGGTACAACACATTGCTAGGGTTTGTACTTGTACCCATCTTCCCAATAGTCAATTATTCCTATCTCTAGATTCTAACAACCGGAGCAGCGCATGGACTACTGGAGTACTTGGAGTAACTGGCTCCGCGGCAGGAGCAACGGACCCACGGGCGACTGGCGCAGCAAGCTCGCTGGGCTACCGGAGCAAAATGTTGAAATACTAGGCAAGAATTAGAAACCGGAAAGAGAGGTTTTCACTAGCAGCAGTTGAGATACATATAGGAAACCCTAATTGGATTGTACTCGCTATAGAGTACCCCAATGCACGCTAGACAAACATCGACATTCTGACACACTCCCATAGTTAAAGTGGCATACAATCAACACAACAAGCAGGCAGTGCAATAGTTCACAAGGATAAGCAAAGCTAGAGGCTATCACAGAGGGCAAGTGAGGAGGAGGAAAACTATGGAGGACGAGAAGATGAGAGGTGACGGCTGAAGCTGCAGACACACGGGCAACAGGAGTGCGCAGCACTGACGCTACAAGGCTAAACCTGGGCTACACGGTGACAGGTGCAGCTGGCTCACTGTGCTCGCAGGAGTGCTCACACTGTGTCTACCGGGCGCAGAGCCCCGGACTACACGGCCACAGGGGGTCGTGGCTCTCTGGACTAC